CCTCCACCCGTCACAACTAGATAGATAATTACGTTCAAATTTTGAAACAGTTAGCAATAATCATCTATCATCTATCATCTATGGGATGCAATAATCAGTATATAGGTAAGGGACAATTCTCAGATTCCAGCTCAAGAGGATGAGCCAACATAACTGAAGAGTATAAAGTGTATAACAGGCCTTACATGTCTGATAGATACAAGAGCATTGCATATTAATTAATAGAAGAACATTGCTTCTTCCTCAAAGCAATAATTGAACTGAAATATTAATTCCAGCTAAACTATCAACCCAATGTTTATCTCAAACAAAGTGTTATTATGAAACAATAATTTCATGTTACAAATGAAAGAATGCATAATGAAGCTTAAGCATCATATTGAAATGTTTCAATCAGAATTGTATTTTATGGGTCCCATAAAATCTAATCCCTACACATAAAAAATTTCAACTTCCAATATGTAATTCAAACGCATGATAACTGCAGCTCAAAACCAATGAAAAAACCTTTGAGAGCCTCGAAAGAGTAGGGTAACAACCTCTAAGATTCTGTGAGAAAGACCTGGAAACAAAAATTACCAATTGAAAGACATGCAACAAAAATGACATGGAGATGGCAGAAAATCATGACATGGGGAATCCAATTTTTCCCCAAAGCAGAAATTTCCTTAACATGTATTGGGGGTGGAGGCCAACAGAGATCCCTGCATGGCCCAATGGATAAAGGAAAACTAAACCTGTAGTTGATGAAAAGATAGTAGATGCCAGGTTCGATTAAACTGGTAAAGTAAATACCATAGGGGTGCAGTGGTCCTAGTAAGCATATTATAAATCAACATTGAATCAGTTTCAATGATCAGGCGAGTGAAGTTGTAAATCGTAGAAATCTGAACAGCAAACAAAACAACCCACCCTTCAACTTCAATGGGGCTTTGTGCATAAATAAGAGAGGTGAAGTAATAAATTAAGTTCCCAAAAACATTTCTGAAAACACCAACCGCACCAGCAGTATTAGGAGTCCAGCTCCCATCTATATTAACCTTTACCCAACCATGTGTATGGGGTTGCCATCTAACAAGTAGAGGCCTTCCACCCATTCCTATTGCCATAGCAGAACTAGTTAAGGGACTTTCCAAGCTGCGCAAAGCTTTAAAATAATAATAAAGAATGTAAGAAACAGTGAGGGAAGGATTTTGGGGGGGGAATTTGCAAGTTTATGCCCATTTCGAGCTAACCATAAGAACCATAAAACCGCTGAAGGGAAGGAGACGAGGTTCTTATCATATTTATGTGAAGCATTCCAAGCTGCCAGTATCCCTTCCAAAATGCAAGTTTGTGCCCATTTAACCTGGAAAAAATTGTCAACCATCTGTCAAATAGATTGGGAAAAGAAGCATTCAAAGAAAAGATGCCTGATAGACTCTTCACCACAACTGCGAAAATAACACCTTTAAGTCATTCTCAGCCCCTTTAATTTTGAGATATCATCAAGAGGAAGCAAAGAGAAGAAAAACCTCCACAGAAAGAAGGATATAGAGGGGGACATATAACCATGTCATAAAAGATGACTTCATTTCCATTTGTCAAAGTTATGCATATTATAATAAAGCATTTTAGATATAGAAGCATTAGTTATGGTTCGGGCTACCCATAACTAATTTAAACATCAATGCATTGCCTAAATGAAGGCAAGCCCAAGTGCCCAACAGACACACACAGTAGAGAGAGAGAGGGAGAGTAGCTGCCATGAAAGTAATGCATATTGCAGTAGCCATTGCCTAAAGTATTGCATATTGCATATTGCAGCAATTGCATTGAACAAATGATTTTTCAACTCCCTTGGAATTTGATTTAACATCAACAAAATATTCCCAAATAGATGATTTTCTTTTCCTGTCTTTCTTACATTCTATTTCAGTACTAGTGCTTCCAACAACCACTTCTACGAGTTGAGAACTATCATTTCCATCATGAATTGCAACTGACAATTGTTCACTACTTGATGCAGATTGAGAATGTTCAATATTTGACATTCTAAATAAGTGCATACAAAAATATAATATCACATGAGATTACAATCATTTCATGCATGTATGCATGAAATGTGCTTCAAAAGAAAAAAAAGTTTAAATATATGCAAAGGTTTGCTTCTAAATAACATGTTTTCTAACAAAAAAAAACATAAAATTGATATAATTGACTGAAAGCAGAAATAGGATGGAACCTCAAACCAACAAAGATAACATTAAAACTAATTGTTATAAATCATGCACATTTATAGTCATTGTGCATCATAAAGGCTGAGTGTACAAAAATACAAAACAAAATTTATAAGAAAAGCAGTTATTTTAAAATTTTAGTTAAATAAAAATTTTGTATTGATGATTTATGTTGCAAGGCTTTAGAAAAACGTCAAATAGAATTGAATATTATTCCAGTTGTTAAGGCTCTCAAAGCTAGTGCAAAAGATATAGCACTTGAGCAAAGAATTAGATATCTTTCATAAGACAAAAAAATAACTTGCTTACAGCTACAAACAAAGAGAAAGTTAAAGGTCAACTATAAATAAGCAAGACACTAGACAGTTGTCATTACCGTGACAAACTTGAGATAAAAGGTCAAGGATTGTTAGAATTTATATCCTAAGAATAAGTCGACATTGGAAGATATGAAAAAAAATTCTACTACTATATAAAAAAGAATTAATATGGGATTTAAAAAGGAAGATCCTAAATCAGCCTTGATGTTGCATGCATTTCCACCTTAAGCTCGAATTGAAATATAACCTCATAGAAGTTGTTTTGGATCCAATAAGGGAAGAGATTTCTTCACTTCGATTATTTGTTATTTAAAACCAAATTCTCTAAGTTGGTATTAGAAGGATAATGCTTGTCAAGTTATTAAGAAATCCACTCTAAGGTTTTCTTTCTTAAGATATTTCATTTAAAATATACTTTATGAAATCGTACCATTAAAGCAATGTGATGTAATAAATGATAGCCCATATATGTAGGATAAATATGCTACCTCCTTTATAAAAAATAGATGCTTGTTTCAAAACGCTAATAAATTAATTTGAAACTTATGAACAGTTTGTTATTGCTGAGAAGAACGATTCAGTCCCCCTAATGGATCTACAAAATAGATAGTGAAACTTAGAACAATTCAGTCCCCCCAATGAATCTACAAAATAGATGGATCTACAACATATGAAAGAAGCAGAAATAAGGTTTCAAACGTTTAGCAGTTAAGAAGAAATAAACCTAAAAACTACTTAGAGATGAAGCCTAGGTTTCACTCAAAAAACTTAGGTTTCACTCAAAAACCTAGGTTTCACTCCCAAAGAAGACAAACAGATAGATTTAACCTAGGTTTCACTCAAAAAACCTAGGTTTCACTCAAGGAAATAAACGTATAATTAATATGAAGACAAATAGATTTACATTTAACCTACGTTTCACTCAAAAAAGAAGAAATAAACCTAAAAAAAATTATGAAAATTTAACCTAAGAGGCAAGCATGAAGATAAACTTGAAATGTTAAAGAAAATATACTAAAAAATGACGTCTCGGTGGCCTTACAAGCAACCAAGCAAGAATATCGAGCACTGAAGCAAGAATACGGAGTAGTTGATCCAACGCCTACTTTATGGAAGACAAATAGAAGTAGAGATCAGAGAACGAACACAAACATTCAACCCTAAGCTCTCGATGACAAAGCTTTTTGCGGTTTTTAGGTGAAGAGAAAGAGCCGGCCGAAAGTTTTTGAGAGAGGGGAGACGCCGCCCAATAATCGAACAGCCGAACAGTAATGAGGGTTAGGGTTGATTGCGGTTTGTATATATTAATATATATAAATAATATTTTATATTAATTATAAAACTTATATTATATAAGCATACAACTATATAATATTTATATTACTAATACAACTTATTAACATATTATTATTATTTTTTAATTATATATTATAATTTATAGAGTTTAGTTTTTTAAAATTTGATAAATTTTTAATATTTATAATATAATTATTTTATACCACATCAACATTTTTTTATCTGTTGCATGCAATATATTTAGACATACACCCTCACTCTTTAAATTTCGAATGAATTAGTTGAGATCAATCAATAAGTATCACTAAATTTTCTCAACTCCCTCACATTGTTCGTGTTTGGTTCATTTAACAATCTGAACAAAAAATTTTGTTCGTGTTCGTCTCGTTTGCTTATCGAACGAACCAAACACGATCTCCTTCATGAACCGAACACGAACTGTTTGCGAACAACGAGCTTTTTTGACAGCCGTAATTTGGTTCTTTTTTTTAGGTAATTTATTCCAAGATCCATCACCCTCATTTAATTTTTTTCTTGATCGAATAATACATAGCACCCAACCCTTCGCACTTTGCACACAAAGCGACTTCAAAAGCCCTTTACCATCAGTCTTCTGATTGCCACTCTATCAAAATGTGTATAAAAGGGTTTCATTTTACTAGCATTTTCAAACACGTACTCTTCTTCAAGAAGCAAATATGAAAAGTAAGCTTTCCTACAAACCGAACTTCCATTTCTTTTTGAACCATGAAGATGTGTCATCAGAGATCCGGCTTAAAAAACTAGTTTTATCTATGCAACTTCCATTAATTGGCAACAAAACATATCATCAGATGTGTTGTGTTCTCTTCTGGGTAAGGATTTCTATTTACACATTTATAGATAGGATGGCTAGTTTTCAGAAGTTTTTGCAATCTCACCTCCTTCCTGCTTCCATTCTTATATAGTTTATATTTCTTTTGTGATGTGTGATTTCTGTTGCTACATGTTTCTATAACTTCTTGTCAGAGTTTTTTTTCCATTTATTTTATTTTATTTTATTTTATTTTATTTTTGCAACTGCTTATACCAACAGGAGAAAGTCATGTGATATTGGTGCAGTGGCTATTGCTTTTTCCATACAGTGATTCATTGTGCCGATCAGTGACAGGTTTTTGTTTTGTAGGCCAAAGCTAATGATGGAGAGGGCCCAGAGCTACTTCGCAGTACATTTGATGATGGTACCGGTGGACATGCTGAGTCCTTAGCAGCAACCCTTGCTGAACATCGCCAACATTTAGTTAGTATACAGGTAAAGAATTCCTTAGGACCAGTTAGATGCATATATTATTTTTTTTATGAGTTGTAGATTCTTGTTATATTTACTTTGAGATGCAATCTTGATTTCACTGTTCATGTTTTGGACTCGTGTTTCTGTTGTAAGGGTTAAGCTTGGCTTGAGCAAGCGGTGGCCCATCAGCTCATGTTTGAACTTTGCTTGCACGAATCTTTGCTTTGTTCAAGCTTAAGGTCATATTTGATTTTGTTTAGAAACCTTGTGTTTGTATTTCGGTTAGATTTAGGTTTGTGTTTGGCTCAAACGATACTAAATTTAAGCAGTTACACTTGTAAAAAACGTTACTTTTTTAATTACAATAACAAATTACTACTCAATTAAACACAACATCTACATGAAAGGCCAAATGGAGTATAGACTAGATCATTCAAAAATACAATATAAAAATGCAATTGCATACTATAAATTAATTAATTTATTTAAGTAGAACTAAAACTGAATACATGGAATGTAATTTTAGTAGTAGGAGCTCTAGTGACAGAAGTGTAACTTTGGGTGATCAAATTTTTAAAAGTTGTGAACGATTTAAATATCTCGGGTTTGTTGTTGAAAGTGATGGTGATATAGATGGGGATGTTAATAGTAGAATTCAAGTTGGTTGGTTGAAGTGGAGGAATGCTTCGGGCCTTTTGTGTTATAGAAATGTATCACTTAGATTGAAAGAAAAATTTTATAAGACG